TACCTAACAGACTAGATGATCCTTCTATTCATAAAGAACTGCATTACGGGCCTAATTGAATATTAGGCAATCATCTTCATTTCGAGTGAAATAAGATCATAATTGCCGAGAAAGTTGAAGGGCAATTTAAGCTTGAAAAATGAAATGCAAGATACACCATTCATTATTCGGCGCTTGCGGAATAGCATGATGTTTTAGGCCAGTCAGTCTTGGCTTCGGTATCATATTACTTAATAACGGATGATAGTCATTTATTTCAATCCTCGATGTCGATATATCCGCTTGAAAGCTTGGATGGTTGGGGTGAATGTGGAAATGGACACACACACACACACACACACACACACACACACACACACACGCGCGCGCGCGCGCAAAGATAAACGCGCGTGCGTCTGTAAACATGCACACACGGTTCTTTAACCATCACAGAGGAGCTTCCTTAAACGGTCTGTTAGACTGTTGCACATGAAAGAAAATCCAGATAATCATAAGACGGACAGCTATTGCAGTGAATGGCGAAGCTAATTACACTAAATATTACCGTCTCATATGCGTATAAAAAGCGACATATGTGCAGCGAGGAAAAGATGACAATAATAGAAGCATAAAAAATGATGAAGATGTAAAACAGTGACACAGGTATTACGAAAACAATAAAGGCATAAGGAAAACGATAAAAGTGTAAGGAAAACGTTAATGTAAGAAAAGGATAAAAGTATAGGAGGACAGACCCTAACAGCATAAGCTAAACCTCCTCCTGAACACGGTGCAGATCGAGTCGCGAGTCGTGCGGTCAGCGGCGACGAAACGACAGTCATTGTGCAATCAGGAGACTAAATACTGCAACAGTGATCCCGAACATTCCGATATTGCGAGAAGTTCGGAGCTTATCACGAAATGTTCCGGTTCATTAGACAATAAATCGCACTAAACTCGGAGTAGATGCAGGAGTTGTACGTTTAAAAAAACATCAACACTCGCGGCAAGCATGCAATTAAGAGAAGTTGGAATATATTCACACGAACAGAAAACGCGCTTCGTTATATATATATATCCTGATGGTAAAGACCTCCCCCCTCCCCCCACCTTTCTCTCTCCTTTTCCTCAGAGAGGGACGCTCTAAAATAATAAGAGACAATTGACTCTGCATCTCAAACGCTCTATACAACTAAAAAAGGGAAAAAAGGAAAAAAAAGAAAGAAAAAAGAAATGCTTCTGCGCCACAAATGCAAATGTAACATCATGCTATACAACAGATCCCTTGAGCTCAAACGGCATCGCTAAACACCAGTTGATTAAGATCCATAAAGGGACACGCCCCGACGCGGCGATAAAACACGCATGCCTTTCACACAGTTAATATATATATATGTATATATATATATATATATATATATATATATATATATATATATATATATATATGTATATATATATATATATATATATAACACATACACACAAACACGCACACACATATACAAATATATTTCCTCTTTCTTATGGTACAGCGTCAGTCATAAGGCTCCTTTGGAACGTCAGCATCTGACACTGGGGTGTGACGTGGCGAGACTTGTCAGTATAAATCATCTCTCTATTTTTTAATAAGGACATCAACATAAAAGTTAACTAAAAAGACATTTGTATTTTTTTTTACACACTTATATATTTAGATATAGTCCGAATAACCATATGCTTTTGTTGCGGTTGTGATGTGTGGTAATGGGCCGCTGCCGACATTTCCAAACGCAGCTGAACCAACCAACATGTACAATAAACAAATAAATAAACATATATAGAGAGACATACAAGTATATATATATATATATATATATATATATATATATATATATATATATATATATATATATTTATACACACATATGTATGTATGTACTCGTATGTGCAAACACACACACACACACACACACACACACACACACACACACACACACACACACACACACACACACACACACATATATATATATATAAATAATTTTCTTATACATACATACATATATGTATATATATGTATGCATGTATAAGCGTGTATACATACACATATTCATATATATACATATATATGTGTGTAATTGTGTGTGTGTGTGTGTGTGCATGTGTGTGTGTGTGTATGCGCATACATATATACGTGTTTATATATATATATATATATATATATATATATATATATATATATATATATATATATATATATATATATATATGTATATATATATATATATATATATATATATATATATATATACATATATATATATATATATATATATATATATACATATATATACATATATATATATATATAAATATATATATATATATATATATATATATATATATATATATATATATATATATATATACATATATATATAAATATATATATATATATATATATATATATATATATATATATATATATATATATATATATATATATATATATATATATATATATATATATATATATATATATATATATATATATATAATATACATATATATATATATATATATATATATATATATATATATATATATATATATATATATATATATTTATAAGTATGCATAAATATGTATATATGTATATATGTATATATATATATATATATATATATATATATATATATATATATATATATATATATATATATACACACACACACACACACACACACACACACACACACACACACACACACACACACACACACACATATATATATATATAGATACATATATATATACATATATATATAGATACAGAGAGAGAGAGAGAGAGAGAGAGAGAGAGAGAGAGAGAGAGAGAGAGAGAGAATAGAAGAATAGACGAATGCTTGCACAAGAAAGACCTGTGCGTGAAGAGCCAGCCTTGATAACGACCATCTCGCCTCGTGCTGTACCCCCCACCCCCCCCCCCCCCCCCCCATCCCACCCTTTAAGTCCCGCGCCGACTGTTCCAACGGCGGCAACAGATCATACGAATTACAGAGCGAGCCCCTTTTGCCTCCCCCAAAATACACCGTTTCTCCAGAAGAGGTTTTACGTACCCAAAGGAAGCGGCATTACTCTTCCGTCCGGGTAGATGAAGACGACGTAGGGATATACCGCTTGTTATTAAGGCTCTTTTGGTGTCGGGGCGTTTGTCGAGGGTTGAGGGGGGGGGAGAGGAGGGGGGGTACTAGCGTGTTGCTCTTGTTTCTTATGAATATTAATGTGTGTTCGTGCACGCGTATCGGATTGTCAGACACGCATGCAAAAAAAAAAATCTGATTATTGCTCTTGTTATATTGCGTGTGTTATCTCAGGTCCTATGATATGAATATGGGAAAGACAATGCGTAAATTACATTATACAGAGGAGTCTAACCTCTCCCTCCCCCCAACCCCCCAAAAAAAGAAAAAAATCCTTAAACCGAGAAAAAATCAAGGAGCAATTTCTGCTTTGGGCGAACACGGCGTCGATCGGCAGCTCCCTCGGGGGCTTGAACGGCCGGTCTAAATTAGAACCGATATTCAGATAAAATTAGAAAATCAAAGGAAGGAGGAGCAAAAAATAGAGGAAGAAGAAAAAAAAAGGAAAAGTGCAGAAGTAGAGTTTGTTTTCAAAAATGTGAATACACAATTAGCTGTGACCTGCCGAGGGCAATATTTCTGTCCTGGTGAGATTTCTTTCTTCGCTTCCTCCTGATTTCGACTTTTCCCCCGGATGCCTTTATTTGGCCGCTTTGAAACCCAAACGCGTGGGCACGCACACACACACACACACACACACACACACACACACACACACACACACACACACACACACACACACACACACATGTATATGTATACATGTATATGTATATGTATATGTATATATATATATATATATATATATATATATATATATATATATATATATATGTGTGTGTGTGAGTGTTTTTCCCTCGTATGGTTTACCTTTCATACTCTACTCCTCATCTGCTGCTTCCTCATCCCACCCCGAGCGGCCACGCCCCCCTCCTCCCTGACCTCGCCTCCGCGTCGCCTTCCTCGCCCTCGTCTCCTCCCGCCAGACACCCCCTCGGCACGCAGGCCTCCATCCGCCCTCCTTTCCCCTCGCCCTTCCCTCCCTTCGCCGCGACGCCCTCTCCCCTTTGGACGCGGAAGCAATCCTGGCCAGGGGATTTGCGGGGCAGTTTAGCAGTGTCTATATTAACGCTGGCGATGATGCCCTCGTAGGAACAGCGGTGGACACGTGGCCGGGGCTCGTTTCTTCCCCTCTGTGTTATAAGAAAGGAGAGGTGGCTGAATCAGACCACACGGGAAGGGATGTTAACAGGACGGGTTTTTTTTACTAGGATGGAGCTACTTTTTTCATGTTTCTTGTGTACTAATTTACTGGTCGCTGCACTTGTGGTAACGCTAGCAGCGCCTGGTATTATTTGGACGTTTGCAGTTGTTCACTGTGGCCAAAATACGGACAGTCATATGGACTTAATTTTATGATGCTAACAAGAGGGTGGATATAGCTCACTCCTCGGTAATAGACTATATTGGCCTATAAATACTGTAATATTTTAAAACACTAATTGTTGTATACCATGAAATATGTGTGGCAATATCAGTTTAAATCGTGTAACAACTTCATTGCATTTGCGAAATAACATATAATATGGCGTGTTTTTGCATGACCACGCACCATTACACTCGACAGAAAAGCGCGGTCGCTCTCATTCGATTTGCAAATGGATTCCAGTGCAGAGAGAACAAATAACACACAATTCAAGGAATAAGGAATTTCTACAGCAGCAAAATCTGTCTGCTTGTCGGAATACATGCATGTCTGCCTGTCTGTGTCTGTCTCCCTCTCGCTCTCTCTCATGTCTATGCGTCTGTGTTGAATTTGTATCATGCAGGTGTGCATGATACAATGCCCTTTCCATGACAGCTACCATCCCCGCCATTCCCGCCCACCACACTCAC